GACCCACATTATTCCCCAGTACCAAAAAAAAAAAAAAAAAAAGTGCACAGAGAACCAGGCTTATTTGCTTGAGTGAAACAAGTGACCATTATCTCTATGGACTTTTACAGACATTTTTATATAAATAATTAATAAATCCTCTGAAACATGTTGCCAAATTTAAATTTTTCATTTACTGTCATTCTTAAGACAATAATACACATTTGGAATACAAAAGTGCTTATAAAGAAATGCATATCTTTGTATAGAAATAAATATATATACTATATATCATCATATAAATATAGATCCTCTACACTGCTTTCTTCCTACTCCTTAACTCAAAACTACCCACATTTTATACATGGATCAGAACATCACATTGTACAAAATTCATGTATATAATTACTTATCAATTAAAATAGTATCATAATAAAAAGTTGATGTTTCCTGATTTGCTTTGGATAAAATTATATAAAACACTGTCTATAATGTAGTTATGATTTAAATAATTATACTAGTTTAATCATAATTTCTGCCAGAGCAATGAATATTCTTTTCTTTACTGGGACTATTCGCATTTTAAAAGTTCTGCAATTACTGTGTCTACTATCCAATAATATTGTGGCAGACTTGTACCTGTTGAAGTCTAAAGCAATCTATGTTCATGGTTATTTTACTTCTTTGAATTTATATGTTCCTAATTACATCAGTGTCAAAGGCCTTAAGTGATCACTGATGATCACTTAAGTGATCTTGTCTAAACATAGAAAATCAAATTAAAAGTTTAGTTTACAAAGAAGAAGTAAATTTAAATGTTTAATAGATAATACTTTATAATTGAATGTGTGGTTTTTGTTTGTTAGGGTTGTTTTTTGGGTTTTTTTTTTTTTTTTTTTTTTTTTTTGTACTGGGGATCAAACTTAGGCCCTTGTGCTTGTGAGGCAGGGGCAGGAACCACTGAGATAAATCCCTGGCCCTTGAATGTGTTTTTGAAAGTGATGGTGCACATTTAAACTCAATAAAATAAATGAAATGCATGATGTAAAATAATAGTGCATAATTCTCTCTTTAACAGTGAAATGGAAGAAAATCAGACAGTGGTCACAGAGTTCGTCCTACTGGGATTTTGTCTTAGCCCAAGGATTCACATTGTCATTTTGGGGGTTTTCTCTTTCTTCTATGCCTTCACTTTGCTGGGGAATGGGCTCATCCTGGGGCTCATCTGCCTGGACAGCAGGTTGCACACCCCCATGTACTTCTTTCTCTCCCAACTGGCCATCGTGGACATTGCCTATGCCTGCAATACGGTGCCCCAGATGCTGGTGAACTTGCTGAACCCAGCCAAGCCCATCTCCTTTGCAGGCTGCATGACTCAGACCTTCCTCTTTCTGACATTTGCACACATAGAATGTCTCCTCCTGGTAGTGATGTCCTATGACCGCTATGTGGCCATCTGCCACCCGCTCCAGTATTGTACCATTATGGGCTGGAGGGTCTGCAACACTATGGTTATCACTTCCTGGGCATGTGGCTCTCTTCTAGCCTTGGTTCATACAAGCCTCATCCTGAGGTTGCCTTTCTGTGGGCCTAATCAAATCAACCACTTCTTCTGTGAAATCCTGTCTGTCCTGAAGCTGGCCTGTGCTGACACCTGGCTCAACAAAGTTGTCATCTTTGCTGCTTCTGTGTTTGTCTTAGTTGGGCCCTTGTGCCTGGTGCTGGTTTCTTACAGTCACATCCTAGTTGCCATCTTGAGGATCCAGTCAGGAGAAGGCCGCAGAAAGGCCTTCTCCACCTGCTCCTCCCACCTCTGTGTGGTGGGGCTCTTCTTTGGCAGCGCCATTGTCATGTATATGGCTCCCAAATCCCAACATTCTGAGGAGCAGCAGAAGATCCTTTTCCTGTTTTATAGTTTCTTCAACCCCATGCTGAACCCCCTGATCTACAGCCTGAGAAATGCAGAGGTGAAGCGTGCCCTCAGGAGGGCGCTGTGCACAGACAGTCATTCCCAGGTAGAGTGACCTTGAAATCACCATTGTCAGTGTTCTCCTGGAATCATGGTGCCCAATTACTCCTTAAATCCACAAAAGTGCGGAAGTGTCTCATCTGCCTGAATTACTGAAGCATAAGACTTCCATCCTTCATATAGGAAAAATTTAAGATATGTTGATATCATTAGTTGAGGTTTTGCCAGACATGACTTTTTTTTTATTTCTGGTTGAATTGCATATCTATGAAATTAAAAATCATTTGTTTTCAGATTCCCAAAATTGAATATGTTCCATCAACTTTTCTACTCTAACTATGCAAACTCCACTAACTAATCACAGGATTTGAGAGAGAAATTTTTCTAAGAAGCAGCTGCCAAAGCCAGTGATCCCCAAACTCAAGAGCAAATCTGTTCATTCTCCCAAAATGTCCCATGCCAAAACCCTGTATAACAACAACAACAAAACAAAAACAATAGTGACTTGTGGGGCATGCTACTTAGAATTTTATATGAATTAGTGATACATATTGATATGTTAATCAGTATTCCAAATGAAGACACAAAAGTAAAACAAGATACACAAAAGAAACAAGAATGAGACCTACAAAGAGAGTTGGAAAAGTGAACATCATTTGTGAATTTGAGCATCAACTGACAAGCCGATAGTTAATAAATGGTAAACCTTAGTATTTGCCTTTAGAGGTGGCCAAAAATGAGTATCAGAATATCTGCAAAATTTTAGTATTCTCCAAAAAGCACAATGCTGAGCTTTCTATTTTATGTACCTGTAGTTTTTCCAGTGTCTTTGCATCAGCACATCCAGCTTTGCTATGTCCATCTTTCCTTATTTTTAGTGTCTTATGCAAAAGTAGGATTTTTATCAGAGAGTGTAAGTTCCTAGCTGGCAATCTAGGCATGGTGGTAGATTCACTTTTACTAACTTAGTTTACTTGGAAAATAATGATCAAAGATGAGTCCCCTAATATTTTAGTTGGCTTCTGAGGTTGTTAATTATACAAATATTTTTAAAAATCTGTCCTGAAATTTGATGATCACTCAAAGCCAGAATCTCTCTCAAGTTTAACATGAGGCAAACGTAAGATTAGTCAGAAGAGTAAGTGTGTACTATTCACCTGGGGTTTAACAGGTACTTGAACCAACTCGTCATTACTATACGTCAAAGGCCATGTTAGTGTGGGCCTGCTCAATGTAAAACCAGAGCTTTTTTATAATAAAAACTAATGTTTTGAAATCACTAATGAAGTAGCATACACTTGTACTGATAACACTTCACATGGATCAGTTAATTTTGTCATCATGACGAATCTATGAAGATGATCCTGTTCTCACTCTGTTTAATAAATGTACATGCCTAAAAGGAGCACATATTGGAATTTTACTGAGTCTGGGTCCCAAGCCCTCTGTATGTAAGCAAAACCATGTAAAGTAATACATCAATATTAATGTTATCAAATAAAGAACAAGGCAAATTTTCCCAAGATAGGATTTGTTAAATGAATAAAGGCTTCAACAATATTTGTTGCAGTGAGGTGCTCTGTGCTCCACAAAGCCTGGGGAAACTAATGTTTGAGATACAATATTTGAGAGACTGATTGGCTCCTATGTGGCTGGATGATGGCTCCCTTACGCAAACTCACAAAATGCATTGGGATTTTAGAGAAACACCGAATGCAAAGAAATCGACAACAGACTGCTCTTGAGAATGTATATTTATTTCAACTGAGAATAGAAGATTCTCCTGGTAATTCTCTCTCTCTCTCTCTCTCTCTCTCTCGGTCCATCTACATTTGCTCAAGAGAAAAGTTTAATTCTAATACTAATATGTAAATATTGTGAGTATTAACAAGAAGGGACTCTGGTTCCAAGGGTACGGTGTGCACCACCAGGTAAAACTTGGAGATGAGCTAGACAGAGAATAGGCAATAGTGGAAGGGAAGATAGATGGTGCTCTTTCATGCTGGCATCAGACCATCTTAGACCAGACACAGTGCATGCTCCATAGAATTTTATCTAAAAACAGCTTTGTTTTACCAAAGTAAAAGAACTCAGATCTCTTTGTCTTTGAATTCAAAATTGTTATTCTCTCAGGTGGTGTTTACAGAATAAGTACCACCTGAAAGATTGATAGTATCAATCAAAATTTAAAATATAGCACCCATTAGCTATCTCCTTGTAATTAGTCATGTTTAGTTCTAGATTTACTCAGTCTTTACAAATTTTATCCTGGCTAATATTAGTAATTAAAGCTCATTCATAGTGATCACAGAAAAATTTCAGTCATAGTAGGAGAAGGCACCTGATATGAAAATGACACTGATGAACACTGCTCTGTGCTGGATAGAACAGAGTCATGGGTCTTTCACATCTAGAGGATAAGGACAGTGGTCACTGATAAATTAGTCAAAGATGACTTCCAACAATGAGAAAACATAAAAATGGACCCAGCATCTCCTAGGTGATAAAAAGAAGACTAATCTATGGGAATTAGTGAAAAATCAGAAGTCAGCACCAAAGGTATAAAAAACTTACAGAAGTAATGGCAGAAAGCTTTCCATACATGAGAAAATAATTTAACACAAGTGAAGCTTATAGATCCCCAAAGAAAACTATTTGATGCCACATCATCATTAAAATACCAGCAATCCAGCAAAATAACAAAATTTTAAAAGCTGTTAGAAAGTAGTAAGAAATCACTTTTAAGTGAAAATGCATCAGAATTTGTTCAGATTTCTCAACACAAATATCAAGTAAGAGAGACCTTGGAACAAACTCTTTTAAGCCGTAAAAGAAAATAAATTTCCAATGCAGACTAATATATCTTGCAAAATCATCTTTCAAAATTAATGGAGAAATAAGATAATTCCATAATAAAGAGGATCTAAAGAAATTCATGACCACCAACCCAAAAGTCAAAAAAGGTTTCATGAATATCCTAGAGAGAGATAATGAAGACAATAATCCCAAAATATCCGACAACAAATGCACCAGATAAGGCAAACACATAGATAAAATTAAAAGAAAGGAAGAAAGCAATAGGACAATAATATAATGACAGGAATAACTTAATGCCTATCAATTATGCACATCAATGTGAATGGTCTCAACTCACTAATCAAAGGACACAGATTAGCAGAAGGGAACAAGAAACAACATCCTGGACTTCTGGGAAAATGGCAGAGGGGGAGTAGCACAGAAACAGCCTCCCTGACATTTGGAGTCCAGATGCTAGATCTATAGTAATGTGAGGAAGAGAAGAGGGATGAAAGTTGGCCCCTGGTATCTAGCAAGGATGTCAAGTAGAAATTGTAACCCATAGGGAGAGTGAAGAGAGGAATCTCAAAGCAGAAAAAGGAGGTAGTAAATGGTGCTTTCTCCCTGAGCCCTGACTCACTGCGTGGGAGGGGTGGCTGGAACCTTTAGATACACAGTGGCCACTGACCCAGAGGCTTCCACAGAGAAGTGAACCAGTGGAATGCAACAGCGGACACCATGGACTGCAATGGCTGGTGAGTTTTCTCAGTTCAGACATTGCCTAGGAGAGGGTGATTGTCTGGTCACCATGAATGGAAAGGGGGCAGCTGAAGTCAGAAATCAGCACAGCTATGGGATCGCTCCATCTAGTACCTCCCAGTGTCAGGACAAGGCACAGGTGAGTTTAACGCAGGAGAAGGTCAGGGAGCTAAGTTCAAGCTACCGGTAAGCACCAGGAGTATTATGGGCTGAACAACTTGGGATGTGAGTCTCGGCCTAATAGGCAGAATCCAGAAGCAACCTGAATTCGTTGGAACGAAAACGCAGGCTTGATGTGATTCTCTACCACACCACTGTAATTTGACTGCTAGCTTGTTTGCCCCCTCTGCCTATCAGTGAGAGCAGAGACATGACTTGAAGTGGACACTTTTTTCTTTTTCTTCTTTTCTTCCTTTGTTTTGTTCCTCTTGATTGTTTCTTCTTGTTTTTGTATGAAAGTGAACACTGTCTCTAGCTTTATGTTGTTATATTGCTGTATTCTTGTCTCTGTTTATTCCTTCTTTCTTTCCCTCCTGTCTTCTTCACTAGTTTTCCCAAGCATCCATAATCTGCCTTTCTCTTCCAGTCTTGCTTTTAATCTCTTTCTCTCCTTCTATCTCTCTATTGTTTCCACTATCCATTTTAAATTTTATCCCCTGGGGATAAAATTGCCATATTGAGGGATATTTACTGTATACACTGGTCTGCTTTGTTTTATATTTTGTTATATAACTACAAAACTTGTTCATATGATTAAATGTAGCAAATTCATAGTTACCAGAATCTGCCATTTTCTCTGCTGTTTGATGCTATTGTTATTACTGATTTTACTACTTAGAAAAGGTGACATAGTTGTTCTAATCGATTGTTCTTCCTTGTATGCCAAGACTGAGAATGCTGAGGGTCATAAATAATTCTATAGGCCAGAGCCAAAGGACAAGGGGCTAGGCAAGTAGGCAGCAACTTCTTTTCATAGCATCTTGCAACAAACTCAAAACCCAAAAGCCAGCCACACCTGGAAGACATCTCTGAGAAGCAACCATTTGCTAAGTTTTCACCATACAATAAAGCTACCTACCATAAGAAATTCATGAGCACCCACTGAGGAATTAAACTAAAAAAAATGGAAAATGAGATGACACTTAAGCAAAATGCAGTCCCAGTGTTCTAGCTTGCCAAAGGCAAACTCAGGGGTCAGTGAGGTGGAACAACTTAGAAACAACCCACCTGGACTCTCTGAAGTGGTATCAGGGGAAGTAACACAGGAGATGAGTGAGGCTGTAGTAAAAACTGAAATCTAGAATAATATCTCAGGTAACAAAAAATATGATGACTCTTTGAAAAGCATGGTGAGTACACACACAGCAGATGGAGATGAAGGAAAATAAAGGGTCTTATGAAAATGATGGGAAACACACATGCCCAACACAGAGAAAGAAATGGAATCCGTGCAACACATTTAAACAAATATCCAGAATATAAAAAATTCTATTGAAGTTTATTCTATTAGCAGAATAATCCAATTAGAGGACAGAACATCAGATCTAAAAGACAGTACTGTGATTAGTGATCATTGAAAGAAAAATTTCTTAAAAATATCAAGGGTCCATGAAAAATCAATCCAAAAGCTGATAGATGATGCAATGAATAACATAGTATTCATCAGCATCAATGAAAAACTAGGTGATAGTACACATGCCTGAGAAATGCAGAGGTGAAGAGTGCCCTCCAGAGGGGGCTGCACAAGGACAGCCATTCCCAGGTGGTGAGACCTTGGAATCACCACTGTCAGCGTTCTCCTGGAATCATGGTGCCCAATTATGGCCCAATTCCAGAAAAGTGCACAAATGTCCTCTGTGTGCCTGAAAGGCCCAGGAGCACACCCTCCTCATCCTGTGCAGACAAAATTTAAGACGTGCTGACTTCATTTGTTGAGGTTTTACCAGACCTGACTTTTTATTTCTCATTGAATTGGATTGAATTAAATATCTGTATAATTAAAATTTATTTTGTTTTTTTGATCCTGAAAGTCAAATGCACTCTATCCTGAAATCTAATTATAAAAACTCATTTCTATAACCTGACTATATAAGCCCAGTAAGATATCTTAAAATTTCAAAAAGAAAATTTTTTAAAAAGCAGCTGCCAAAAGCCGTGATCCTCAAAGCAGCACACTTGTACTTTCTCCTACAATGGCTGGTGACAGACCAAGAGCTACTCCGAGGAATTTAGTAACCTGTTGGATATATCATTCAGGAATTGTATATGAATTATTGAGTCCTACTGATGCTTCAGTATTGTGCATAAAGGCACACAATTAAAATCAGATACATAGGAGAAAGAACAGAAGAATAAGTCCTAGAAAGCAGATCACTTAGTAGGCTAATAGCTAGTAAAGGGGCAAAACTTGGCATTTGTCCATTGATCAGGTTGAAGAAAAGTAGCAGAGAAAAAAATATATATATGTATGTGTGTATATATATATATATATATGTATTTATGTATATATGTATATGGTGGAAATCAGAATGCATCCCCATATACTTAAAATGGCTTTCCAGTATGTTACCTATGAATCCTTTTTTAAATCTGCCCTGCAATCAAAATGGTCACTCACATCCACAACCTTTCAGAAGTTCTCCATGACAGCAAGTATAAGACTAATCAAATGAATAAGCATGTGCCTCTCAGTTGGGGGTTAACAAGTACTTAACTCTTCATTACTACGTACAAATTAATATACTCAGGGCTTTCTGAAAACGATAATAAAATATTTTTTAATAAAAGCTAATATTTGAATCATTACTTACAAACCAACATACATTATATATTGATAGTACCTTACATAGATTAGTTAATATTATCATCATGAAAAATGTATGAACAAGGTCCTGTTATCAGGACCTGTTATCAAGTACAGGTCATGTAATCAAATACATTTGTATATGTACAGGCTTAAAAGTAGCACAGCCTGGACTTTTCCTTAGTCTGAGTCCCAAGGCTTCTGTATGCAAGCAAAACAATATACGGTAGTATATCAATAACAATATTATCAAACGAAGAACAAAGTAGGATATGTTAAATGAAAGAGGGTTTCTCAGAGATCAGTGTGTGTTGCAGTGAGCTGATCTGTGTCCTATAAAGCCTAGTGGAACAGACACCAGGTAGGAGAGGCTGATTGGCTCATCTATGGCTGGAAAATGGCTCTCCTATACAAAGTCACAAAATGCGCTGGACTTTTAAGAGAAACACAGAACACAAAGACATCAAGAATCAAAAAAAAATGTTTATTGAGTATGGAGTTTTATTTCACCTGAGGCCAGAACATAGATAACCTCATTTGCGTGTGTGTGTGTGTGTGTGCGTGTGTGTGTGTTCAAAGTCTAATAAAATCTATCCACAAAAGAGCAGTTCGGATTTTGTGAATTTTGGGGATGAGCTGAGTAAGAAACATCAAATGACAGAAGGAAAATAGATGATGCTATTGTATACTGGTGTCTGACCAACTGAGTAGAGTATATGTTTCATAGAATTTTATCTAAAAACTCCTTTTTTACCAAGACAAAGGAATTCAGATTTTTTTCTTTGTATGCAAAATTGCACTCTCTCTAGTGGTACTTACAGAATTAGCACCATTGAAAGATTGATGGTGTCGAACTTTAAAATATGGCAGCCATTAGTAACTTTGTCCATTAGTAACTTTTAGTTCTAGATTCACTCAATCTTTGCAAAAGTTTCTTCTGGTGACTATTGATGATTATGCCTCATTCATAGTGATCACAGGAGAATTTCAGAAACAGTAGCAGAAGGCACCTCATATGAAAATATGGTGATGTACATTCCTGTATCATATAGAACACGGTTCATGGGTCTTTCAAAAGGAGTGACAAATTGCTAAACCCTATCATCACAGGAATGCCACAGTAGTGACTGAGTTTGCAGTGCAGCTGTGTAGAAGATTTTATTTCTCATATCTCTTGCAAGAGGGCAGAAACACTAGGGAGTACAACTACTGAAAATGATGGGTGGAAATCAGTTCTCGAGCCACGTGAAATTGACCCATACAGTGTCGTTGAGATGTAGAATGGTCAGTGCCTTCACTGACCTGTAGGAGCATTCTTTATTCTTTGGTAGGAAGTGTAGAACAATGTTTCTCTGTATTAATGCACAGACAAATCATCTGGGGAACTTGTGAAAACAATAGTTTTTATGTAGCAGATCTGAATGGGATGGGCAGAAATTCAACATTTTAATGATTTCTCATATGTTACTAGTGGGCTGATCTAGACTACACAGAATATTGATGATGTAGGGAAGTGCCGTGAAATCTTTTTCTTGGGAAAAATAGGACAGAAAGGAAAGAAAATTTGACACATGGTCTTACAGAACACATGGCTGTGATGTTTTCCCAGACCCAAGGGATACCTGTGCTTCCCTGGCCTTCTTGATGAACTTTAATTGGGGCTCTGGCTATATTTGGTTTCTTGTTCTTACGTGTTTTGTTGTTGTTGTTGCTGATGATGCTGATGCTGATGCTGCTACTGCTGTTTAGCTTTGTAACCTTCTAGGACTAGGTGAAGGGGAGGTTCTGTAAAGTACCATCTGATTTGATCCTTGGAGGACTGGCTGGGGCCAGGATATTTGGATTCTCAGAAACTGGTGAAAAACCAAAGGCAGTTTCCATACTCTTACACTCACACAGACACTCAACTCTTCCCTTCTGACACTGGATATATGAGGGTTTTCCACAAACACCAACCAAATCTCCAGGGAATACTTGATGGCTGTCTTGTACTTCAGCTCAATCCTAGCCATCATTCTGCCTATACACAGTTTCAGATCTTAGGAGGTAAGTGCTCAGTCCCCCAAAACTGGACTCACTTCAGGTGACAGTCACAGTCCCAGGTTATGATTTGTCATCTAACTGAATTCAGAAATCCCACTTCATATTCACTTAAGCCCTAGAAGATGCTCCTCACATTCCTTCTGCTCAGATCTCTGCGATAAAAATGGGGCCCGCCTAAATGTAGGAGGGCTTGGAAATTCAGCCCTTTCCTGCATTCAGGGCCAGGGGCAACTGTGTAAGAAAGAAAAGTCCACATCTTTGCAGGCACTATGCCTCAGAGACGATAGCACTAGCAGCTGAAACAAACCATAAACACACACTTTCTCACACACTGCCTCTCCAGGTTCCTGTTTCTATGGATTCTAAATTAACATCAGCCCTTTTAACTCATAATTAGTCAGGACACACAATTTAGAGCACTATCCTTTCACCCTCCACACATTAAATTTCTCTCATGCCATCCTAAAAATACACTCTCCACTGTCTTAGACATTTCTGCCTATGTTAGTAGCTGCTCTTTTACAGAACCTCTCTGATGAGTTTACTTTGAGCAGCAGTTACAGCCATTCATTTCAGGTCTTTATCTGTTACTCTCGTGTCAATAAAATAGTCAAATTTTTGAGAACTTTAAACATAAATGTTGTATAGGTCCGATGAAATCAAATGCTCAGTGCTAATTCATAACATGCATGCCTTTGTTTCATCTAAAGGTCTCTTCTGTGTACTGAGTTCTTTTATGTAAATATGTCATTTTAACTGTATTTTCCTAACTTTTAAAAAACTTTCATTAGTATATATCTGCAGTACCTGCAGCTTACAGTCATCTTGGGGAGTGGAGACATGCACAAACTATGGCTAGTTTCTTGTTGTTAATCCCCTCTCCCTCCATCCCTTCTCTAATTCCCCTACCCTGATTTGTGTTTGTGTTGATTTATTAATCTTACCTTGTCATGGCATTTACTCATTACACTCATTGAGATTACTAGGTTCCTGTGCACGGCACATCTTTATTCTTATTTCCCTTTCTCCTCCTCCACACTCCTCATCCTTATCCCCTTGGACCACTTCCCTGCTGCGAGAGAATCATCCTCATGTCCTCTTCCATCCATTCCTTATTATTCTCTTTGTGTGTTTGTATTTTGCCTCACTCAAGTGAGAGGTACCATCCATTTAAGCTTGTGCGTCTGATTTATTTCATTCAACATTCTATTTCCAGGTTCATCCATTTTCCAACAAATGTTCCAAATTTGTCATTCTTTGTAGCTGTTCACACTGTATTTTTTATTAGCTCTTGCAACATTGGTTATCTCCATTTACTTGTAACAGAATATAGACAATTTGAAGTTATACCTACTGATCTTCATGCTCTTTAAAAAACTTTTCTTAGTTTTAGTTTGTGTGATAGGCCCAGATATAAAATTTATTATCTTCTGAATTTTACTTTTGCATCTCCAATTTCATGTGTATAGCAGTATGATGAAGAAGTTGATTATGAAAACATTTACGCTTGCTTCTGAAAGGCAGTATCCTAATCTCCACACGCTGCCATACAAAGGAAACATTTGTGTATGTGTTCATTCCAATATAGATCTGACTGCTTGTCTCTGTTACCTTCCTTCTCATAAACTCATATTCATGTTTCGCTCCAACAGGTTTTAGACTCTGACACTGCCTCAACTTGATATGGAGCAGAAAAACACGTAATTTGAGGTGATGCATTTCCTAAATTTTAGTATGTTTGCCATGGTGACATTTCATATTTACCTTATCTTGGTTCAAGCATTCTGTTCTGTTCTAAAATGACTTTTGAGAGCTGATATACATATGGTAAGAAATACTTTAAATGCCCTCATACCATAACTTTCCCAGGATTTTATGGATGTTTTAATCTACATTCGTGGCAGTTCGCTTGGGGGAAAGAGAAGTAAAGTGTCTGTGGACTGTCTATCATACACCAGGTTTTTCATATGATCAGGAGCAGTTTGGTGTGTGTGCCCTGACATAAATGTACATTTTTCAAGATGAGCTGAGACAGTCAGAACCCAGTAAGCATGTGCTCTAAATGTGGTTAAGTATGTGAGATTTTCCCTTAGATTTATGCTGAAACCTCAGCATGTCAATATGTTAGTGTAATAAAATAGTTTATACATTGCACAATGATTTGATCTAAGATTCCTCACACTCCTGTGTACAGTGTGAGAAAGAAATATAAACAAAAAGGAAAATATTTTCAGAGTAAGGTGTCTTCTCTCCTCCTGGAAGAGGCAGATGTCTCCAGGGGAGGCTGCATGGGTCAGGCTGCTGTCTTCCCAGGAAGGGACAGTCTGAATCCATCAAGCCCCCCACTTCAGAACAGAGATTAGAGGATATTTCCAGCAGATGACCTGCACTCATGATTGGTGTCCTGAAAACCTTCCACCCAGGCAGGTCCTAATCGGTCCTATGGAGACGTCTTGATCCCTCCTTCACTCTCCAGTCTGCCCCACACTTCCCCAAGCAGCTCTCCACAACACCTCCACACCTCGGTTTGTGACTTGCAACCACATCCTTTTTCAGGGTCCTTTCTTCCCACTTCTGCTGCAGCAGAGAGGCCCAGATGACATCACACAGAATCTGAGCTGCAGAAGAGATCTCAGAATCGCTTTCTTGGTCACACTGGTCCTTTCCTGCTTCCCAAAGACTCACCTGCTCCCTATGGAGACTGGGGAGACAGCAGTGCTGGGATTCCTGAGAGGCCAATCATGCCAAGTGTCCAGGGACTGCAAGGAGACCTCTCATCCCAGAGGTTTGTGTGCTGTCTGCTTCCTAATTGAGGGTCCTGCTGGGATGAAGACAGAAATAGAAAAGGGAAATGTCTTTGCCCCTTCTTCCCAGCAGAGATAGGCAAGGACAGAGAGCCCAGTGAACCCTCAAGTGCAGCCAACTGGGTTGAGCCCTAGAGAATCAAACCTCCTATTCTGAGGATTCTACTGCATTTCAATCAAGGACAGAAGCCCAGGTCCTGCAGCTCCCACAGAAGCTCTGAGAAAACAGCACAGGACCTCCAGGTGCTTCCCCTGCTGAGATCCTTGAGACCCAGTTGTGGGTACTGACCAGGGTGCCTTATTTTATTTGAATGTAAACTCCTTAGACATATCATAACGTCTATCTGTTGTTAATGCTCAACCTTATGCTTTAAGGATTGGCAAAGAATTGCATTCTTCTCCAGATATGTGCTGAGTATTTTTCTGATATGTGTATGATTTGGGGAAAGTTAATGATAACTTTTTTGAATATATTTGTACTAATAAAGTTAGTATGCACATCATCCCTTGGTATGCATGAAAGATTGCTTCCAGAACCCCCTCACCATAGAACAATCTGTGGATGCTCAAATCCCTTACATAAAACGTATAATACTTGTATGTAGCAAACATATATTTTAAATCATCAATGCATTACTTATACCTAATAAAAGTCTTCACCACACCTTATGAAATCTGTACTGTCACTTTTCTTCTTAAAAAATAAAAACACCTTCGGAAGGCGGAAGAGGTGATGTAGTGCCTTCAAAGTCATATAATTCATAAAAGGGCCTGTGAACTACAAGGCTGAACACACGCTTTCCTGTTCTGTGGTGTCTTTCAGTGTTTTCTTTGCCTGACAATGTGGCACAAGGGAGATTGTGGGAACTATTAGTTTTTTATCTTCTTTTATTTACTCAAACAGATGCCCATTCATTCAGTCAGTAAATATTTACTTAACACCTACCATGTTCTAGGCATAAAGTATGTTAAATATATTAAAATTTTATCATATATTAGATCAAAAAGATTTCTTCAATCTCATGGTATATTTTAAACCCAAATTCTGAAAAAAGTTAATTTTGAATCACGGTTAGACTATCTAGATTGGCTGTTCCAGAGAGAAAGTACTGGTGGCTCAGAATTTTGGCAGATAAATTTGCTATCATGAATTATAAGATGGTGTTTTCTAAGGTTTCTTGCAATACTGTTAAGCTGAACACAGAATTCTTATATAATCAAAATCTTCTAGGAAACCACTCAAATATTGGAGCCATTGAGAAATCTCTGGAAATGCCATGGGGATAAATACTGAGGAGGCAGGAAAGAGAGATTTTGAGAATGCTAAAATACAGAAAAGAGACAAAGAAAATTGGGAATATGTAGGGAAGACATCAGAAAGGTTCATAAAAGGATGATTAATTCAGACAAAGACAATAACCTCATAACAATGACCCCAAAACAGGGACAACAGACCCAGCTATCAAGAGAGACAGTGTTGAGAGAGAGAGAGAGAACTAAGAATTTTAAAAATAACTTTCAGTTTAGGAATGTTATATGACTAATGCACAGAGCACTAAAAAAGAGTTCATCAGTGCATCAAATCTTAAATTTTACTTATTGAAACATAGGCCCATCTAGTACTGACAGGTTTGTTCAGGTGTAAAGAAGTGACTTCAGTCTTAGATATTTACTTTGAAACCATGGAGATGACACATAATGTATTACTCATCAAATACTTTGGCATATTTCTAAATAGCTAACTTGTACATATGTATAAAATGTATTACTTCAAGCAAAAAAGCAATGCCTGAATGTTACATCAGGATATAGATTAGATATTTAATTTACTTTTTGCTTTCTCCTTTCACTTCTGTCAGTCTTTTGGCCAATTTAATCCACGAAGACAACTAAGAATCTTTAAGAATCTTGTACAATGAAATTAAAATAAAGGGTAGAATAGGAAGAAAAAAATGAACATTGAAGGATTTTTGGAAATTCCACAGTGATTCTTACCTAATGTCAGAAAGTCTGTTCCTCTTTCCTTGGGAGAAATGCCATTACTTGGTACAATTAGTAAGATTTTAGCAAGCCAGAAGTTCCAGATCCAGTCCTAAAAAAATCAATATTCAAGCATTTGTTAGCTTGTTTGTATTTATTCATGTTCACTTGGTAAACATTTATTAAGTGTCATAATTACATAAGTGTCATAATAACTAAAATATTAGTACATCTGTTCATTGACTCCAAAATATATCTTAGCAATCCAGTCAAATCCAGACTTTCAACCTATGTGGAACCTGATCATAAAGAATCTTCATGTACACTCTTAGCACTCCTTCCTTCTTGTGTCTCCATTTGGCTTCCAAAGAGAATCATATTTTGTGAACAATGGGCTTTTTTCCTTAGATTAAGAAACAATCAGTCAGTATAGTGGCACACACTTGTAGTCCCAGTACTTGGAAGACTGAGGCAGGAGGATCGCTGTGAGTTAGATACCAGCCTGGGCTACAGTGTGAGTTCAAGCCCAGCCTGAACTACATAGTGAGACCCTGTCTCAAAAACAAACAACAACAACAACAAAAAAAAAAATTAAAGAGGATTAAATACAGAGGCTAGAATATCCAAAAATGCATCCAAATGCATTTTATAGCCACATATTTTCATATGCCTACATTGTTTTGCAAATAAATTTAAAAGTCTGGCCTACTGCAGAAATTTTATTAGAATCCTAAGAAAAACATAAGCTCTGGCCACATGTTCTGAATTAAAAACATTCATTAGCATTCCTTGTGTCTTATTGATCCCATAATTTATTGTTCACTTGTGAGGTAACCATAAGTTGCTGGCCCCAGAGAAGGATCCGTGATGTCCTTCAAGGGTTCCAGGGGAGCTGCCGGCATCCTGATCTGCAGTGAGGTGATCTTTGTCCAGGACCCAGTCCTCACTTGTGTAGACCTCACTTAGGAAGTATGATTCAGTATACAAATATTTCTCAGTGGCATCACACTATCCAAACTTTAAAAGGAAGGAATAAGGCTGCCTGGAATTAGCTTATTTTACACAATACACCTGCAAAATCAGCCAAGCATTTTGGTGATCTGCACATTCGCTTTTAATCAAAATATCTGCACAAGGAGGTAAATTAATACCTATGGATTGATTTGAGAGTATGAAATCAGAGCAGAGGGGGATAGCGGGAGACCTTCTGCCCAGGGTTATCCATCAGTGACCACCTGAGCCACCTGGACCCTAGCTCCATCCTGCCCAGAGGACATCACCCTCACAGCAGAAGATCACTTTCCCTCAAGTATGTGAAGATGTGCTATGAGATCGGCCTTCCCAGATTATTTAGTCCCCTGCCTGTCTAAGGATTTGGGAACTCATTGCATCTGCAGTCAGTAAGTCACAGTCACATGCTCCTCACTTGACCCACGGGATGACATCAAAGTGCATCAGTGGACTTTCAGAAGCACACAGAACACCCAGGTATGTGCTTAGTCTTGTCCTCCTCTTCCAGTTCTTAACTGCTGTCAGTGACTTTTACCTGCTTTGTTTCATCGGGCAGTGCTGTTTCTCTTATTTCCAAGGTCTCTGGGAAGCATCTGGTTGATGTCTCCATTGACATTAACAATGAGTGACCAGGATCTGATCTGAAGCAGCATCCTTCCATTTATTGGGTCTGAGAAATGTTTTTGTTCAGAGCCAAGAGGTTTCCACAGCTCAGCTTCACGTTATTTTTGCCCAGCAATGTCATTGACAAAAGAGTTTGCATCAGAAAAATGCAGGATTTATGCACAGTATTTCTGAGGAAATGTTACCCAAGATTTAAGCACGAAAAACCCAAGTATTATTTGGCATGTCACCAATTTAAAGGAGAGCAAATCACTTGATTAACAATTTGCTATTGTAATCTGTAAAATGCCAAATTAAATGAATTATCCCTTTGCAAAAATCTTAAAATTAGCCATCTATAAGTACTGAGCAGATTTTTTATTACCAAAGTTCTTTTGCAAATGGGAAGGGGACCAAAAGATAGCAGAGGGAGGTCAAAAAGAATTAAGATATGTTATATATTGTACACCCAAGATTTAGCTAGTGCATTCTGTGCTGCTATAAACATGGGTGCACATATATCACTGTGGTATGAAGCTTTTAATTCTTTTGGGAAGATAAGAAGCACACAGAACACCCAGGTATGTGCTTAGTCTTGTCCTCCTCTTCCAGTTCTTAACTGCTGTCAGTGACTTTTACCTGCTTTGTTTCATCGGGCAGTGCTGTTTCTCTTATTTCCAAGGTCTCTGGGAAGCATCTGGTTGATGTCTCCATTGACATTACCAATGAGTGAGCAGGATCTGATCTGAAGCAGCATCCTTCCATTTATTGGGTCTGAGAAATGTTTTGTTCAGAGCCAAGAGGTTTCCACAGCTCAGCTTCAAGTTATTTTTGCCCGGCAATGTCATTGACAAAAGAGTTTGCATCAGAAAATGCAGGATTTATGCATAGTATTTCTGAGGAAATGTTACCCAAGATTTAAGCACGAAAAACCCAAGTGTTATTTGGCATGTCACCAATTTAAAGAAGAGCAAATCACTTGATTAACAATTTGCTATTGTAATCTGTAAAATGCCAAATTAAATGAATTATCCCTTTGCAAAAATCTTAAAATTAGCCATCTATAAGTACTGAGCAGATTTTTTATTACCAAAGTTCTTTTGCAAATGGGAAGGGGACCAAAAGATAGCAGAGGGAGGTCAAAAAGAATTAAGATATGTTATATATTGTACACCCAAGATTTAGCTAGTGCATTCTGTGCTGCTATAAACATGGGTGCACATATATCACTGTGGTATGAAGCTTTTAATTCTTTTGGGAAGATGCCCAACAGGGGAATAGCTGGGTCAAATAGGACCTCTAATACTCGTTTTTGTTTTGTTTTGCTTTCTTTGTACCAGGGATGGAACTCAGGACCTTGAGTTTGCAAGACAGGTGTGGTGCTACTGAGCTAAATCCCTGGCCCTATTCCTAGTTTTTTGAGGAATATCCACATTGATCTCCACAGTGGTTGTAGTACAAATATACTCT